GCTGTGGTTTGATTGCCAGAACCCTCCATGCCCTCACATTGTTGCTCAGATCACAGATTTCCCAATGGCCCCTTTTCAGGTTCTATAAAGACAGAATTTGCCGTCAGAGCGATGGAGTGAACTATAGTATATGTTACATTATTTTTTTTAAGAGAACGGACCAGAGTACCAAAAAAAAAAAAAACCCTCAACTTTCCTCCAAAATCTAAAAGCAGAAAATCAGCACCCAACTGGTACATCCCCTCAGCCTTCACAGGGAGCTGAAAGGGGGTGGCGGAGCTTGCAGTGAGCAGACTGGACCTTCCACAGAAAGGACAGCCTCTGCTCAACTTCAGAAAGGTCTCACAGAAAGTGATGTGGACCTGGGGCCACTCAACCTTGGTTTTCATAGGCTCAAAATATTCATTTCTACATGAATTTGCCAAATTTTTCATAATGGTGTGATGGCTATTCTTAGTTGTCACCTTGACTACATCTAGAATTACCTAAAACTCAAATGACTGGGCACACATGTGAGGGGTTTTTTTTCTTAATTAAATCATCTGAAATGGGAAGACCTACCCCAAATCTGGATCTTTTAGGTTGGAAGATTAAATCTTTAATCCAAACCTTTTGAGGTAGGAAGAGCCACCTTTAATCTGGACCACACCTTCTGCTGGCAACCTACATAAAGGACAGGGGGGGAAAAAGCTCTTTCTCTGCCTGTTTGCCCTCTCCTCACTGGTAAGTCCATTCCTTCACTGGCATCAGTGCCTACTTCTTTGGGATTCCAGTGTACGCTGAAGACCAGCTGAGACATCCAGCCTCCTGGACTAAACTACTGGATTCTTGGACTATCCATTCATAGGCAGCCATTGTTGGATTAGCTAGACCACAGCCTATAAATCCTTCTGTTAAATCCCCTTTCTATATATAAAGATTCATTCTATATGTTCTTTTACTCTAGAGAACTCTGACTAATAGAAATGGCAATAAATTAAATAATAATAACAATAAGTAACTCATGGGCTGGGGAGATGGCTCAATGAGTAAAACCGTTTGCCACAAAAGTGTAAGGACCTGAGGTCCAATCTTCAGAACCCACCTAAAATCTGGATGGGTACGAGTGTCTGCAACCCCAGTGTTCTTGCCAGGAGGTGGGAGGTGGAGACAGGAGACTCCTCAGAAGCTAGCCAGCCAGCTAGCCTGGAATAAGCAATGCAAAACAACACAGTCCCTGTCTCAAACAAAACGGAAAGCAAGGGCTGACCCCCAAGGTTGCCCTCTGACCTCCACATGCATGACCTCCACTGTGGCACATGCTCACCTGCATTCACACGCATGAATATATACACACAAGAAAGAAAAGAAACAACTTCCATGTACGTGAGCACACACACACACACACACACACACACACACACACACACACACATCACTCTGGGCCAAATCTGGCCCTATGGTTGCCTCTCTGTTGTTCTACAGTGAACTATAGCTGCATTCTTGAATGCCAGTGAAACCACCCATAGACAGCAGCCCTGGCAGCTGGCAGACCTGTTAGATCTTACCACTAATAATAAAGGTCAAGGCTTCTTACAGATACAGACAGAGACACACTCACAGATACACAGAGACACATATAGACAGACACACACACACAAAGACACATATAGACAGACATAGACAGACACACTTATATAGTCACACAAACACATATAGACACACAGAGACACATGTAGACAGACACACACACACAAAGACACATATAGACAGACATAGACAGACACACTTATATAGTCACACAAACACATATAGACACACAGAGACACATATGGACGGACACACACAGAGTCACAATTATAAAGCTTGTCACCTGTTTTCTGTTTATTTTAGATTCTCCACTCTCACCAGATACAGAGGGCATCTGGCCCTTTTCCAGCTGTTGATACCCATTCTCTGAAAGTCACAAGATCCCCAGGTCACGGGAGTGAGCCTGTTTGTCTCCACAACTCCCACCTTCCCAAACTCAATACTTGACTCACTCCTCGAAGTCCCAGGCCCGCTGTGTAGAAATGGCTAGGTAACAGACTCATGGGTCTCTGTGCTGGCACTAATGACTTTGCCAGTGTCCCAGCAACCCCTGGGTGACACTGAGGCCGGTGCACAGCCCTAGAGAAAATCCCATCCATCCTCAAGCTGCAGCAGAATGTATTACAAATACAGACAGAGAAACCCCAGCAGATACAGCAGAGCCACTTAATTAAATCCCAGGGTCACCAGCAAAGCCTGTCTGAATGTAGCCCTGGGCTTGGTGATCGGACAACTCACTCTATTTGGCTCCACTAAAGAGTGGACCCTTCTTTATGAGGCTTGAACAAGACAGCCAAGATAAAAAAAAGAAAGAGAGAGAGAGAGAGAGAGAGAGAGAGAGAGAGAGAGAGAGAGGAAGGAAGGAAGGAAGGAAGGAAGGAAGGAAGGAAGGAAGGAAGGAAGGAA